ATTTCATATCAAAGCATACTAGAGAAAACCATCGTAATACCAGTATACTTAGATAGAGTAAATTAAATTCCACAAGTAGCTTATTCTCTTATTAAATGAAAACTACATGGAGCAGACAGTTCCATGTTGAACTAACAGCCTGTTCATTCTTGTAGACAACTCTACTGCGAGCTGGTAATGCTGTACTGGTATTTTAGCTGGCCTTTCGACACGCTTTCACTGTAAGAAGGGATGGTTAACAAATGCCACCCTGCAGAGCTGGCCTCTTACCAATTAAACCCCTTCTGCACAAGCTTCTGTAGTGTCCATGTATACTTGTGCCTAATTTAAAGAGAAAATTTTGGGGATGGGAATATACTTGCACCTAGACAGAGCTGATGCCAAGAGCTACGTTTTCAGTTCCAGGCAATATTATCCAACTACATTTTGCAAATACTGGAATAAAGGTGTTACAACTTTACTGCTGAATAAAGGAAAGTTTTAACCCAAGGCAAAAGACCCTCACGTTACAGTGAGAACAGAGCCGTTGTGGCACACAGCTCATTCCAGCAGACATCTAGGACTCTCTCTCCCACCGTTTACTGGTTTGACACCACCACCACCACGCTTTCATTACCTGTAAAAAGTATGTCAAGCCATTCTGTCCTCACGAATACCTAGTGAGAATCTAATTCGCAATTCTGCCTGATCCAACAATATAAACTGTCATGTTACCAGCTGCAAATCGGCAGCCCATAGCCTTCTACAGAGTACACTAATCCTCTTAATCCTTGAGGTCCCCGTTCAATTTGTTTGTGTGTTGGCCCAGAGGAACTTGCCGTGATGACATTTCAGAAGGGTACTTAAACAAGGAAGCCCTTTCTAAGGACACTGTGAAAGAACAGGAAGCCTGAGCACACGCTGCTTGGTAGCCAACACTGTTGTCATTGTCCCTTTTACCGGCTGGAGGAACCAAACCTTACCTTGTCCCTGTCCACCCTCCTCCACCCTACACAGAGGAGGGATTTACTCCGTAATACGTCAGAGAACAGCTCTTTCTCCTCTTAATAAGATCAACAGGAAGGAATTGCTGCACACCTTTGCTTTTACAAGTATTAATATCTTTTCAAGTCAGTAGACAAGACTGACAAAGTTATGTCTTTTCAGCTGCTTCTAATATTTACTTTAATGGAGTAAGTTTCCAAAAAAATTACTACAGAAACTCAGGGTAGTTCTTAGAGGAGAACATCTGTATCTCCACTTGCAGAATTCAGTATTACAATCAACTGCAGAAGACTTTGTACATCTAAAACTGCTGAAATGGCCTTTGAGAAAAAGAGAGCTATAAATTAGTTCTATGAAGAATTAACAGATATGGGTTCTTGTAGCAAAAGGCTTTTTAGATTCTCTAGCAAAATGTGTGAGTCACTGTTTACCTTTATCACTGATGTGCTTTAAAGCTAGGTCAGTCCACCTAGGAACACAGGCATACAAGAGAACCCAAACATCATCCAAGCTTGTATCAGGGATTATACTTCTGTTCCACCAATTCCCTGACTGCAGGGATAAGCCTTGAACTTCAGTTTAATGACAAACTTAATGATGAACATATAAAACCTAAAATTCACTAATAACCTCTTTTTAACTTATTTTCTCAAGACAGACATCTAGAATAATATATGCCCCATTATCTAGTCATATTTGCACTAGGTGATACGGGCAAAAATACCAATACCCATATAAGATGTTATACGCTCACAAAGATTTTCAATCTAAACCTTATTATACATTCGAATTGTATGTCAATCTAAACGTTTGCAAAAAATTTGCATTCTAAAACAAAAATCTCACTAGATAAAAATTCCTTTATTCAGCACCAGTCTTCTAAGAAATCTTTTAATTTATCATCAAAATTTTAAGTCAGTTTTATAATGAGTTCTCCTTACAAAATATACTTTGCAATTCTTGCAAGTACCTATGAGACACTGAATAATTCAAACTAACTCTACCAGTTCATTTGCCACACATCATTCATATCATTTTAGTCATTCTTCTACTGTTTTTTTTTTTCTTTCACCAAGAAAGGAACTATAACTCCCTAGAAAGAATAAAGGAAATCAAACCCTTTACACTTTTACCACTGATCGTTACACCTTATTTTAAAAATGGGACATCACCGTGATATCATTAGGAACTATACTAGTGGATCAACATGAGTTTTGACAACTACGTCCCCCAAATATGGAATAAAGTTACCTGATCTTCTTAAAACGAATCTGAAATAAGTTCTCCTTCTCTTACAGTAAGCAGAAGCACATGCAGTTAAAAATGTGCACATAAAGTGAAACACCTGTTCATTCATTGTTCTAACGAATTTTAAGGGTCGTAAGTGCACTTACTGCCATTGTTTCAGAAGAAAGGAGAAAGAAGACTACACAAAGCAAATAGTCTCCTGTTACCCATATTAGAGTCAAGAAATTCAAACAAATTAAAAAAAAAAACCCAGCAGCCCTATAAAATATTAGTCAGAATGACTTAAAATCAGTTAACCATGAAGGAAACTAACATTTCTGGGTTTACATTCAAAACTTGGCAGTAGCTAAGCTCATAAAAATAAGCTTATCCCATTTAAATATTCTTGACTGTACAATTAAACGGAAGAAGTAATCCTTAACCTAGATCTGATTTATAACTCATATGACTTGCTATAAAATGAGGGCATTGAACTAGTGCAAATAACCAAAATCCAGTTTTTGAAGACTACTCATATGCTGTTCACATGAAAGAAATATCAAAGCAAAAACCTAAGAGCTTTATCTAACATTGATACAAAAAAAGCCCTAGCAATCCTTTCAATCAAGGAATTTTTTTATCAATCAGCAAATCATGCTGTACTTTGGTTAAAATCATCAAGTTTAAAATACACCTACTTTCTTCTCCAATCAATTCAAGGTATTATAAATACCTCAAACCACATTTCACAAAGTTCAGTTTATCTAAAAATAAAGAATGACAATTTCGCACCCCTTAATTGCCTTACAAAGTGAGTCACACACCCATCAGTAATTAACAACCAACCTTCCAAAGTCTGACCGTAAGAGTAAGCTGAAGCACTCAAGCCTCAAGCAGCTCCACTGAAGACTGACACCAACATAACAAAGCTACTTGTAGGATAAGCAGAACACGATGTGGACATCTGCGGGACAGGGCATTAATTTTTTTTTAAACTTAACAATTACTATGCATCCAGGTAAAAGAAAAAGCTCACATGTCCCAATTACGATAGTATAAAAACGATACCATTTTAGAAAATAAACACAAATCCTCAATCATAACACTTTATATATGCTCCTGAATGTGTATGCATACATTTTCAGGTGAAAATTGATTGGTAGGTGTCTTACATACACTTGTAACAGACATTTCCTTACGCTCCGCCTCATCCACAGGGAGATTTTGGTTAACAATTTCGGTTTGGGGAGATTATTTTGTTTTATTTGCACAATTTGGTTGTGAATTACAAACTTGAAAGACTGGAACCAAAGCTGTAAAAGGAGCAGCAGTATAATGAGATGACACATAATTGAATATGCCATGATTCAAGTGTTTGCTTTCAACAATTCAGCACTGAGTTCAATTTTCAGTGTTTGCTTTTGGGGTTCTCCATAGAAAAGGCAGAAGTCTATTAGCTGACCTCAGCTGTATGGCAGATCCCTGTACTGAAATGCTAATTTGATAATGGAAATGTCAATGTGTTAGGATATTTGATCATCTGCTCTCTAAAATACCACTTTTACTAAAGTCTACAAAGGGTATTTTGTTACTAACAGCATGTTGTAAAAAAATATCTGAACAGTTCATAAAACTCTGCAAATAATCTTAAAACTGTTATGGGCAGGAGTCTGGTGAAGAGCTTTTTTCCTATACACATAAAAAACAAAATACAAACAAACAATCTCATTCAGTGCTAATTATCAATTTAATTTTTTATTAGCTAAAAAATCCTCAAAAATTGGATCTTAGCATGTTAAATTTTTAAAATAGCATAAAGAAGAGAACAGAAAGCAGGATTAATCTAGGCAGACAATCTTTATTATGATTCCTGGTCTGTAACTAGTAAAGTCTCTGCAGAGGACAGAATTACCCCTATTTAAAATATTTTCTTGTTCTAAATTTCACAATATTTTTAGATACTTTCTGTACCATGAAAATCCGTACTTAACTCATTGCATTAGAGTAGTTCCCAGCAATTCAAAAACTAAAGTACTAAACCAACCTGCTTTGAGTCACAGACCTTCTTTTCCAACTAGTAAGAGCCTACCCAGCTCAATGACTTGCTTCTCAGTATTTCAGAACACAGAAATTCCCACCCCCAAAAATTGATGATATCCCAAACCATGACACTCCCATATCAAGTTACGTACTAAAATTCAGTTTTATAATACAGTTACCCATAGATGGCATGTACCTTTGCATCAGTGACGCGTTAAACAGCACATACATCTGTGTGAAATCTTGATCAAGTTAGAGGATGAACAAGGAAAGCCACAACCCAACTAGCCTGCTGAAACATCCCTGAAAAGTCATGGTTTCAAAGCATGTGACAGTAGCACTCTCTGAAAACACCAGAAAGTATTTTAAGGTACTAATAACTGAAAGGAAGTTAATTATGGGACATAGTTTTCAAAAAAATATTTTGGGGGAATCACCGTTAGAAGCAGCAGTAGCTGTCGTTACACCACAATGCCCTGTATTTACTGGCTCTGACATATTCAAGGCTTCATGTTCAATCCTGCACCATTTCGTCTCCAACGTTAACAATAACTAAAGAGTTCTTGATGGTGTAGATTCACTTCTGTAAATAAAACTGTTTAGATACAGGCTCAGGTTTTTGTAGTTCTATGGCACAGATCAGGTTTTTGTAGTTCTATGGCACAGATCCCACCAACTCCTTGCAGTTTCTAAGCTAATGAAAATTACACCTACCTCAATTAAGTTGGTCTATTTTATATTTAGGATACATTTCTTCAAAATAGTCAATGTGTGGAGGCTGGAGTATGTCGAGGGCAGAGAGCACCTAGGAAACACCACACAAGATCAAGACCTGTCCCAGTCAGAACCAATCCTTTTCAAAAACACAGTCAGACTGCACCTTTCTTAGAGAGCTCAGCTTTATTCTATCCCACACTGACAGACACAGACCCATATTCTGTCTCACTAGATATATGAATTTAATAGCCCACCAAGTCACATATTCTGTACATTCAGGGTCTTTTTTTTTTTTTTTTTTTTTTTTTGGAATTCAAGCACTAGCTTAAAAGCATAAATTTATCTACCCAGTAAAAATTGGTTTATTTCAAAAATATACATAGCCATGAAATATTTGAAAGAAGTAATTCTAGGAAAGGATATTACACTTTGTTCTGCCTTTCATCTTTAAGAGTTTCGTGATACATTGCTTCCACCTGGGAATTACAAAACCCAAAGTTGTTCACATTCTGAATCAGAAGCTCAGCTCTCTGTGCAAAGCAAAAAGGTAGAAAAGCAGCAGCACAGAATTTCCATCCTCTCACAAGAAAAAATACTACCTTGGTGTAGTCTTTTAGGTCCTGTCCTAGAAATATCTATGACATTTAGGTGAAGTACACAAACTTCAGTGGTTACCAGGCTCAACTTCTGACTGCTTATGGAGACGCTTGTATTTGATTTTATAGTCCTCAGTAAATTCTTCTCCATAATGGCAGACCCTGGTAAGCAGTTTAAGGTACCAGTTCAAAAGAAATCTTGTCCCACAAGCCATCTCCCAAGGATTGGTGATAGTGGGGGGGGACATGACCCTGCAATCTGGTACAAGCTTGCAAGGCAGTCCACCTCTTTTGTGCCTCACTACCACCACCGCTTATCTGAACCCAGTGCTTAGCCACAAATAACATCTTTCTTGGAATACGATACCCTCAGATAATAAAAGGTAAACTTTAAAACAGGAGGAAAACAATGAAAGAAGGTTCTGAAACAGACATCCACTTCCTGATCCCATTCCACCAGAAGACAGTACTCCCCACGCGCTCATTACTGCTCATCATCGGGAGAGGCTACCACAGCCGCAGCGGCACTTGTGGAGCAGTTCCTGCAAGCACTTTTTGATTCACTTCAGATGCAACTATATGCGTCTATTCAAATTTTTTTTTTAAATGTTTTAACTAAACCTAGCTGATTTTACCTAAAGCAGATTTGGGAGTGCTTGCACAACCACTCTGCTAGAAGAGCTGAGAGAGCAACAAACTCCAACAAAGGGGAGAGGAAGGTGGAGTAAGTAAGAAACAGCTTGGAAGCGAAAGCATCTCCAGCTGGCATAGCTTTGTACAGACTGACATTTATCCAAGCCTAAAATAAGGTTAGGTGGAAGTGTATTGCCTGTCTCTTTGCAAACATTTTGGAAGGGAAATTATGAATATCCTTAGATTCTTGATAATTTCATTTTTTATAGTGTTTGCAACAGAAATATCTGCGTTTCCAGGAAATCTGATAACTGTAAAATTAGAGAGTTTTTACAGCATTTTAGATATTCTATAACTTAAAAGAAAAAAATACTTCTGTTATAGATAGCTCCATTTTACAATTAGGCGTTACCATAGACTCAAAATTACTTTGAATTTACTTACATTGTCATGCTTAAAAAAACACAACATCTTCAACTCCCGGAAGACCCTTTTACAAGAGACCAAATTTTGGAAGACGTTGGGCATCTTTTTGAGTGCAACTCTCTTTCCATCTCGTGGATCTGTTACTGACCTACAGAATAAAAGATTTAGAACATCACATACTACTGTTAGACAAGTTTTCTAAATCAGAAAAGAATATTTTAGAGTTGTTATCATTCTCAACTTAGATGGTGAGTCAAAACAACGTGAAGACACTTCTAGGGAAAAAAGGATTAAGCAAAGGGCATTATGCACTGTACTACACAGTCTGTATCAAATGCAGTGCGATCCTTCTTTGACTAGAGCACGCAGACCCACACCCAGTCAAGCTTGGTCGCTGCTGAGTGGCCGGACACATGTACGTCAGCGCACACGCTGCCCGCCACTGGCACATGCTGCAGCTCAAAGTGAGACCAACACCTTGAGCCGAGGAGAGGATGTCATGATAAACATTCCTTCACCTCCCCAAAAAAACCTTATTGAGAGTAAAAATTTTCTCGGGTACATAGATTTTATTTTGCCAGGTCTACTGCTTTCTTCCTCCTCTTCTATGGGAGCAAAAAACTTAATAATCCCATTCCGAGAGAACACTGGCAAGTGTAAGACTATTAGTTGATCTATCACTAAATCACTTTACATCTGGAGAAGCAACAGCACATGGTATCCAAGTTTCCATAACTGTGGAACAGGCATGACGCCTGTCTTTCTCCCATAGACCTTATGGGATGCCAGTATAGTAGTTCAGAAATTATAAGGTGCTTTGCACATTTTAATTTAAAGTAATTAGATTCTGAAAATAGAATTTTATAATAAGAACCATAAAACTAGAGCAAGGAGACTATGGTGCCTCAATTCCCAGACATGATTTTTAAGGTGAGGCTTCTCAAACCTCACTAGAAAACAGGGTTTCTAGATCTTCACTTGTTAGGAAACCTTCATTTTTTTCTGCATATTTTTATTGGGATGACCAAAATAACTTTCTTCTCAGTGCAATGCCTTAACCACGTAAGAATCTACATCCAGCTATGTACCCCGATGACTACTTCTGTCCTTAAAAAGTTGCTGACCTTTCTGTCTGTCATGTGAGTCTCCTACAGATGACATGGAAGGCTTTTTCTTTTGTCTCAGGTCCATGTTGGTTTAAGTATCTAAATTAAAAAAATCTCCAAGTACCACATCTGGCTTCAAAATACAAAACAACTCAATCAATCCAAAAAGTCAGAAGCAGCCACTGCCACTAGTGGTTGGGAGCCAAAGGAGAACTATCCCAACGCACTCAGCTACACCACCTGTTAATAGCCACTCATGTTTATATCTCAAATAAGGGGCCGAGGGGGAAGGTTGATACCACATTATTTCTATGGTGGGAAACACAGAGCCAAAAAGCATCTGCAAAGGTCTGCTCATTCACAATCTGCTTCCTCTTTTCTCCAGGACCTCTGCCTCTTGCCTCTAGCCTACATTGGAAAGAAAGGGAATGAAAACGGAAAGAGCTACTGAAAATCCACTGTTAATGCCTCTCACCATTGGCCGGACTGAAATATCCTCCCTCACACTCCACAGTAACTTCATTCACAGACGATGCTTAACCTCAATGAGTCTCTTTGCAAAACAAGGTGCTATTCATCGTGAGCGGGCGACATTTCAGGCTGGCCCGTAGCTTTGGGACTACAGCAGAGGCTGGTTCTGAATGACACACAGCAGGGCCAGGACCAGGCAGTGGCTCACAAATTCGTATCAATTTGATCCCAGCATGAGCTGAGAGCTCCCGTTGCTCACAAGGTCAAGCACCACTGATCACCTAATTAGTGGTATTCTTCCATCTTTATGAGACAGTATTTCTGGCCTCCGTCACGTTTTTACCAGCTTTAAAAAAAAAAAAAGCCAAGCCACCAACCTTCTGATCTGTAAAAAAACCCTTGAAAGCTGCTGATTCCTGGAAATTAGATAAATTCTTGCTACAACAACAAAGTTGTAAAATTTTATTAATAAAAATCCTCACTGATTACACTACCAATGCCGCTGAATTACTAATTTTTCCCTTTGGGGTTGTGACACTATTGCTGACCAATGCACGCACACCACAAACCACTGCTATCAAGAGGATATTCACATCTCTGGAAGAAATTCCACTAGTGGGTCACACTGATGATACACTAAAGTACACAGATGCAAGACCAGAGACCTCTGACAATATGAAATTTCCTCACAAATGACTGTTAATACCTAGGCAGACCACAAGCACCTTCCTCAGCTATGTTACAGTCAATGGTACAGTTAAAACAAGAGCTAAACAGCTATCTTGGCTATGAAAAATATTCAATTGAAAACCTTCAAAATTAATTTTATGCTATATTACATATTCTACAATTTTTGTAGAATTTTTTTAATAAGTAGAAGAAATTTAAATATGTGGGTTTGTTTCATTATTTTTCCTTAGAAACATATCTAAAAACATAACTACAACAAAAGAACTTTCTTTAAAAAGACACAATTTTTATTTTACACTGTAAACAATTTCATTCTCTAAAACTGTTTCAATTTGTTTGAAGACATAACAAAACCCGTGCTTAAGATCCATACAGCTTATTCGAGAGAGTTCACATCTACTTCCACCAGTCCTATTATCTGTCATAAATCAGTGCAGTAAACACATACAACTTTCTCTAAAGACTAAAAAGTCTTCACTGATCATGTCCAGGGGTTGTACAACACAAAAAGAGCGTAAAGTAACAAACGACGGCAATTTGTCTGTAGGTTTACTTCCTTGAAGAAATTAGCTGCACCTTCACAGATTTAACCAGGATTTTTTTGCTTTTGGCCTCAAATTATCTAAGCTTAACAGAACCCGAAAGGGACAGACCAAAACCCAGCAGAAGTGGCAAACAACAACGTTTTTGAAGACAGACATGTAAACAAGTACCACACCTTCCATGACTGATAAAAATCTGTCATCTGAAACTTCGGCATCGCCCTGACTGTTTCAGCAAGAGGAAGCCAATTTCCATAAAAGCAGTTACAGAGAGCTTGCGCTTTTGTTAAACACTCTTCCTCTCGTTCTGGAGAGTGTAAGCTTTACAAGCTTCCAAGCTTTTTAGGCTCCTAGTTGTATATTTAGGCTGTATCTATAGCAATCGGCTTCTCAATTTGAGTACTATCACAACAGAAAGACACCATTCTGACTAGTCATAGAAGAATAACCATTTTGTAAATGTTAACAAGCAAATAACTCCAAGTATCAGAATCAGCTTTGACATTTTAGGTATTTTTGACATATTAAAATTTCATAAACAGGTCAGACGTGCAACACAGTTCCCATACCTATGCGAAACAGATAGAAAAACTGAAAAAGTGCTTGAACAACGCACAACTAATCAACCAGTAAAAACAGTATTCTTTAAAAAAAGAGCAAGAAGAGTTTGCCTTTAGTTTTGGGCTTAAGTACTAACAAGAACCAAAAGTCTGTAACAAAACCTGTTGCAGAAAATTCTACACTGCCGGACTGACAAAGCACGCGCTAGAGTCCTCTGCTCTTCAGGTGGTTCCTCATTATTAATGTCCTGATGGCTTTTTAGACCAAATGCACCGCGGATTTGAGTGCCCAGAGATCAAACGGCAGCCAGCCGCGCTGACGCACACAGCGGGGTTTCAGCCACGTTCAGGTCTCCCTGTTGCAGCAGCACCACCGAGATGACCCCGGATTTAAGGCAGGCGGCAGAGCTGTTCCTGCAACCCTGCCTCTCGGCAGACAGGATGAAACCAACCTGCTGGAAGAGGAGCGGATACCAAAGCAAGTTCCCACTCACTTGCGGGTTCATTTCGAATGGGGCACGGGGGAATCACCTGCTTGGGCCTTGAGGACGAGGCCAGCGGTTGCCCTCCCCCATGACAAGCATCTCAGAGGCTGCCAGTGTCAGTAGCAGCAACGCAGCTTTGGGAACCTACTCTCAAGACCTTTTGGAACCATTTTTAATAGCCACCTTTTAACCATATTTCCATTTAGAAACTTCCTATCTGCCTTTTCCCAGCTCTTGTAAGTATAAATATTATTGCAGCAATCGACAAGAAAAGTGCTGTAACATGTATTGTTGGACGGACCAATAAGACACGTGGTTTCAAAGTTTGCACTGCGTCTTGTTAATGTTTTGAGGTAAAACTCACAAAGTGGCATTTCTTGTTGTTATTATTCATGCAAAGACCAGTCATGCTTGTAGCTGGTAACAATATAACCCTAATGAATGTGAATGGAAGCGCAGTAATTTCACGCCATGTTGAGTTTGTTCTCCCTTAACTCAGGGTAGCAGCTGCTTTGGTTCAGCACAAACAGTACCAGAGAACAGAGATAAGTGCTGAAGCCTGTTACAGAGGAATGCTTTTATTTCTTTGTTGCTGAAAGGCTTGCTGGGCTGAGCTCTTCTGGTTCTGCCACACAGGGGTTACCCCATCTGCATTGGCTGACGACTCTCAGGCTGTAGAGATAACCAACAGCTCTGAAGGCAGCTTCCGCCATCTCCCGTGACAATGACCCTGTTCCAAACATCTCTGTCTTAATGACCAGCTACTGGCCAAATTGAACTTCACAGAAATTAATTAAATATTACATATATTGTGCTTTTAATGCATATACCAAACAAACATCTGACTTTCGCCATAGCAAATCTATTTACATAATCCTATCTAATAAAATGTAATTTTGAGTAAAAACTGCTCATGTTTTAATTTTATTAGTTTAAAAATCGAACTATTAAAAACTAGAACCTACACTCGCGCACACTCTTCAGATAGTGCCATAGCTCCACACAAAATGACCAGAAGACCTCAGAAGGTGTCCTGTCAATTGATTTACAGATCAAAATAGTCACTCCCAATTCTAATAAAATATTAAAATAGAATAATAGAATTCAGTTTGAGAATAATAACCACAAACATTTTCAGGCAAAGTCTGAAATTCAGTACATTGTTTTAAAAGAAAAGAAGTATCCCCTCATTTTGCTGAAATGATGAAAATGGTAAAATACAGAATAGCATTAAATACAAAGTTACTTGCACTCACTGATTTTCAGTCACACTGCCTCTGTGGTGCCTGGGACG